CCAGCATGGTGCAAGCCATCTGTTCCTTTGTGTGCACGAGCCGCGTTCCTCGTAAGTCTCCCAACTTATCTTTCCTGATTTTTGTGCTCAACTGTCCTTGGCACTCATCTGCGAAGCGCAAGTGCTTCATGAAAAACAGCCAGCGTGACTTTTGGGACAGCGTGGACGCGAACCTCCGCAGCTTGCGTGAGAAACTAGGAGGTGATGAGACGAAGATCAGCGAGTGCGTCACACTCTCATATAACTTTACTCCGTGCACCGCTGATCTTCATCGCAGCTATTTTCATGACACATTGAAGGAGGATCGCCGCATTCATGGTGTAGAAAACATGGCAGAATCGGCTTCGCTCCCTCGGACCGCCAACGTGTGGCAACGGGAAATTGACGAGATTGTCAATAATGCCGATTAATGTAGTAGCAGCATGACCTCCGCATATATACCAAATAAATGACTAATTATCCACACATTGAACGCCTGATGTGCACGAAATTGTACGGCGGCGAGAGGAAATCCGGTTCAGAAATATTGGCTGACTTATGTGCGAACTGCTCATGTTACACGGAATCCGCACATATGTGTTGCGGACGTACGCTCGGGCGTGTTGCAGACGTGAACTCGTACGGTCCGAATGATGTCAGAATACTCCTGATTTTCAGACGCACCGACTCTGAGATCAGACGCACGGCTTCTGTTCCCCGCGAGCGCTTTTCACCTGGTCATCACCCGTGCGCAAGTTGGCGGTGTACTTGGCCTAAGTCGGCTCCAAGCTGGACACTCCGCGCCACAAAGCCAGCGCTCATAAAGTGATGGGGCGACCGTTCTCGAAGCTCGCTCTCTTTTCTAGATCTGTCACGCACCACCATCTCCTCGACATGACCGGCCTTTCCACCTGCATGTCTCACAAACCCGGTACTCAGGCTCGTCTATGCAGTCTACGATCAGGCTCAGCTTCTCGCTGACATACCAAATCGCGGACCGTCTCGTCCGTTGTTCGTACTCATCTCTTCTGCCATGTCAACATCCTGCTCACCGTCCCTGTAATCACTGCAACTACCCACTGCTTTACCAGACATCGCCACTCCCTCCACCAATGCCGAGGCGTAGTTCTACGCGCCTCACCGGGTGCCATTCCTCAGGATGCGCGTCGAGGCCGGACTCAAGGTTCTACCCCACAATCAACATGTGCGCGAGCTCGGTGTTAGGCATGCAAATCTGGGAGTGAACTGCTGTGGGCACAATTGCTGAACTCTAATGTTCCTCTGGGCCCGAGACAACGAGTAATGATGCGCGCTGACTACAGCGAGTGGAGGCAGGCGGGGTGGTCTGATGACGAGAAGTTCAAAGGGGCAGAGATGAGACGGCGGACGGCAGCTTTCTGAAAACGTAAGGTCGCGAGGGTATATTACCATGGTGCGTCTTGATTGTGCTGGCCCTCTGTCGTGAGCTAAATGATCACAATCGTCCCCAATGTCGACATCGGTATTCAGGTCCCTGCAGCCAATTTCAAGACGTTCAATATCATCTTTTTTTTTTTGGCTCTCCGTCCTCAGCATGCACGACCGGCTGCCATTTTGCCATGGCCTAGAGTGGAGCCTACAATACCGACCGGCTTCATTCGCTGAGGTAGTGCAGCCTATGATTCAACCAGGAAGATCAGCACGGCAGAATACCCCAAGTATACCAGAAGATATGAACGTGCAGGCAAACGACATAATTGGGAAGGCTTAAGATAGCTGGGACGGCGGCAATACCGGGGCGCACAATCGTGCGTAGTGGGTCTATTCCATGTAGAGCTGTTCACTGACCGCCTCTAAGGATTTTTGCTCTCGTCGTCTAAAGCTCCAGGCAACCTCTGTGTCCCTTGGTATCGTGAGTGTGGTCATTACTTTACTTACAAGCTCGCTCATGAGCTGCAGGGCATTAGAGTTATGTCGACGAGGACCCCATGGGACGCCGGCATCGGTACCTGCGCACTCTAATGGCCGATATCACCTGTGCATCAACCGTCGGACACCATGAATGCCATCTCATGGCAAGTACGACGGCAGAGAAGACCCGACCTGGCACAGCTGTGAAAGCGATGCAGCAAGTGGCATGGTCGCGTTCCTGAGACCTCTCCCTCCATTCTCCATCGCGCAGCCTCGACGTTTCCGCCACTCTAAGACCCACATTCGCTGCAGCTGGTCGCCGATGCGCGAGGAGACGAACTACGTACCCGGTTGAATCTGTGCACAACACGCACCCGCGACGACAACACCCCTATGGGAAGCCGCAAAACGTTTGATTAGCCGCGTGGGTGGGCTACCGTTGTCCTCCGCCTCCAAGACCGGAGCCTTCAGATTGCAGCGTCAGCTCGGCCTATGTCTGCAGGCCATCGGGACAATGTCTAGGATGGGTTTATACATGCCCGTAGCGGCGCGCAATCGGCGTGGATGGGGGCTCAGATCCAGGTGCGTTCGTCGACACCCTGAGTCTTCCAGGGTCAAGCTGAACTTTTCGACAGGTGTTCCGCGTTGTAGTCGCTATTGGCCGTATGTACACTGCCACCGCCACGACTCTAACCGCCGCCGGGTCTCCTCGCTCCCATTCGTCATGTTTGCTCTCTTCTTTCCTTCCTCAATCTTAGGCATTATCTTGCTGTGAGGCTTCGGACAAGATAATTCTTGACATCGGAGGCACGATGCACTGCCGTTGACGCTGCTCCCGGGAAGAAGCCAGGGAAGCAGATGCACCACAAGCTGGCCGAGGAGTTGTGCGATGGTGCGTAGTCAATCTGTCCTACGTGCTAGTCCATCCTGACTCTATCAAAGCGATCTTCTTTGTCGTGGCAGCGTGAGCACCTTGTCTCCAATCGCCCGACTGTCGACCGCTCCCTCTTATGCGTTGTACTGGACTGCTATGCGCATAACTTGGAACGGCGCGACGCTATTGAGGTAGGCCCGCTTCACCTTACATCACTGTTTGCTGTCTCAGGACGGACCACAGATACTTTCGCCGTACAGCGCAGCAAAGGCGAGCTCGCTGGTTGGTCACAATGTACGGGGCTAGTGAAGCCCCGTAATCACTGCTGTTGAGCTCTGTCATGGGGCCGAGAAGATGAACGACGCTGGACGGCTACAATGTGCGTATTGTACAGCTCAGCGCGCATGTATGTGGCTGACTCGGACCGCAGGTTATCGGTAGTAGCCAATAGAGATGGAAGACGACATTGGACGTTTGAGCAATGAAACATTGAAACGTTGAAGAGTTATTCGAATTAAAAAACGCGTACGCTATGGAATTCAGAATATCAATCCTTTGCTGTGAGCTGCAGCGAAATCTACTGCCGTGTCCTGTCAAGCTCTGGATATTGTTCCGTCCCAAGCAATGGGGCCGTTGCTTGAGAGGCGTGGCGATGGAGGTATATGCGGGTTCTGAGCTTTTCTGCTGCTTGGCACCGCCGCATACGTCCTAGGGCGCCTTTGGCAGAGACACCACAATGTGGCCCTACTCGACCTGTGATATCTGTCGTTGAGGAACCAATTGGCGCCCCTTTTTTGCACGGACTAGTCTACACTCCCTACCGAAACTCGAGAACCACCACATGCCCGCACACACACGAAATATCGGAAGTTGACAGCCGCTGACGCCTGCAGTGCTCGGCCGCGGGGCTGTTGTGCTATGCACCGAAGACTTCGGAAGCGCGACTGCCACCGACGCCACTGCAGGATCACGTCCTTACAGTCCTTATACGCACCGTGAACGGCAGGGCTACGCAGGCGGCGTCCAGCTGAGCCGCTCTGCCGCTTGAACCACCGCATGGGTTGCTTTTGCCTGGACGCCACCTAGTAGACACACCTTGTGACACTTGTCATTGGAGGACCAATTGCCAGTGGCGCAATTCTCTGCATGGGCTCATTTGCGCTCAAAACTCTAGGGTCACCGCACGCCCGGACGCTGACGCGGTCTTGTCATCTCTTAGGTAGTATTTTGCCTGTCGCCCTCTGTTTGTGGCATAAGAGGCAGAATTATGTGTATATACATACATACGAATACGAAACCGCTGCAATGAGGCTGCGGGGACGGACGAAACGGAAGAGAGGCCAGAGGTGCCAAGGGACTGCCGTGCCACAAAGCGGGCGCTCACAAAATGATGGGACGACCCGTCCTCGAAACTTACGACCTGTCGCCCACCCACCAACTAGTCCAGCCTTGGCCTCCATATATACATACTCTTATTAACATTTTCTGTGCAGAATACTTGCGTGCCTCAAGATACTCGCCTTCACAATCTACGCTCTAGCTGTCGCGTCCTGCCACGTCTGCCTAAATAACTGTTAGGCCTTAACGCATCACCAGCATTAGCAGTGCCTGGAGCATATACGCGGCTTGAGTGTCGCAAATTGGGACCGGGGGCTGCTCGGGATCATGGAGGCGAAGACCAGCGGAAGCGGCCCGAACCCTTGCCCCGCCCTGCCACGTGTTGGCATTATCGGATCAGCATCATCAGATGCGCCTTGGCGGAGCGCACGTGCCACAAAGCTGGAGCGCCCACCCGCCGACGCCTTCCTCTCTTGATCATTTGCCCTTTCCTAATCGTAGTCATTCGAATCTGTCCCCGATATATGCGCAGCATGAGCAGAGGCCGCAAGATGCTTACCTGGGTCTAGTACCTGTCTGACTCTCAGCAACGTTCATCTCACGAAGAGCGGGCGCATCTAGGGTCGAGGGTGTCGACAACCGTATATTCGGGTGCGTGCAAACCGCTTTGCACTCGCTTGCCACGCTCAACTTCTGTACCCCGCACTCTCCTTAGCTGGCGCATATGCCCATCGCATTCAGCCGCGCCTATGGTCCGTGCACTAAGCCCCATCCTCCGCTGGCGGACCAAGGCTGGCTCACCCTTAGTTCGCATCTATTTCTTCGCCGACTGCATCAACCGTCATACCCACGCGTACGGTTGCTGCGTTAGCTGCAGCTATTTCATTTTCTCATACTCGCATCGTTGCTCTTTCCATCAGCATCAAGGCACGGTTCTACACGCTCTGTTCGGCGGCTAGAACCCCTCCAGACGAACATCTATATCATGCTCAAGAGCTTAGCTTGCAATTATCGAGTGTGAGCTTTTTGTTCAGTGAGAACGACGGTGTTTTTCTAACCGTTGAGCTGTACTGCTCCCCTAGGCTTCGAGAAGACGAGCAACGCCGCGCAGTCGCAGCGCGCAGACGCCAACAGAGCGGTCGAGGAGCTGGACGAGATGGGGACCCCCTGGCAGACGAAGTGCACTGGGAGAGGCAATGTCTTTAGGTGTGCTCTGAGCCTGCTGTTCTCTCTCATCGTTGTAAACAAAGCGGCACTCTAGAGTTATTTGATCGGCGAATCCAACGTCTGTATCGCTACGGTTTACCGCAACGCGAATATCAAGCTCGCTGTTATCCAGCGCAGCAGGAGACCAATTCTGCGTGGCATATGTGCCTTGCTTTAAAAAGTTAAAGCCCAACACGGCTACCATATTCTCCCTCATTTTACCAGACGCACGGACACCTGTGCTCACCTGAGCCGGGATTGTCATGGCACGTTATGAATCAGAATCCCAGTGTCTACCTTGCAAAGGTGAGTCGTCTGCTGCGGTAGCGACGGCTCTCGGGGACGACGGACGGGAGCGATGGCACAAGAAACCTTACAGACGCTAGTCGTTCCTGCGCCGAGTACGTACCTTTGTACGAAGTATCGTCAAGACGCGCTGACTCGTTCCGCAGGCTGTGCATTGCGTGCGTCGCAACCGCATTCAATTGCCTGCGCCGCTTTGGACGGCGCAGTTCTTGGGTGGCGGCATCGGCTTTGCATGCCATACTAGGCTGCCAGAGCAATGCTTGGAATGCATCTGTGCAATGTCCTGGCAACATGCCATCCTCAGGGAGGAGCACTCCGAGCCGGATTGTGCGTCCTCATTCCGAATCTTGTCGATCCGGGCTGACTGTTTCAAGACATGATTCGTGCCGTAGTCGCTACTGGCTATTCACGCACTGCCGTACGCATCAACGCGACCCGTCCTCTTCATTTTCATCGGACATAATCATGTCCGTTTACCGTCTCCAGTCATGACTTCGCTGAGACGACTTACCAAGACAATCCCGAAACATTGGACGGAGGCGCCGCTGCCGTTCAATGAGCCGAATTTGCAGTCCTTGTCCTGAGGAGAGTGTACGAGCGTACTGTACAACAGGGTGGGAAAGAGCCAGGTCATGCGACGGTGCATAGCCATCCAGTCCTTCATGCAGACTTATTTTCACTCTTCCAAAGCGTTATTTCTCGGCACGACATCGCAAATGCCGTGTTTATTGGTCTCGACGGCGTGAGCATATCTCTGTCTATCCCATGTTACGTCTCGCTCACAGGATGAGGACCCGGACAGATGGTGTCGGCGCACGATACGACGATCTTGAGCGGTCTGGACTTGGTTTAGGCATTCATGGGCCGCACCTGACATCCACCGTACCCCTCGTTCTCGATTCTATCACGCTGTGGTGGAGAACTAAACGCAAGTTTGCGAGGGCGGTAAACATGAGACAGAGGTGATGTAGACAAGATAGTCCGACACGGAACGCAAGTGGCTCGGAGCGGTGGTACATCTCTTTACCCCCAACTTCCCGCTCGCTCCTCTCTATACGTCATATTAAGCTGCTAGGCACACGACCTGGAATGACCTGCTGCTGTCAAGGTAGGTGCGCTTCATCTGGCATTACCATTTTCCGTCTCACGCTAGACCACGGACGCGTTCACCAGGCTCACTCGTCTCTGCGAGATATTGATTTGGCGATGCCCCGTGGTCGCTGCTGCTGAGTTCTGTCACACGGTCGAGAAGATAAGCGACGCCGGACGGTGACAACGTGCGTATCGTATGGCTTGGTGCGCATATATGCGGCTGACTACCGATTATCGGTAGCAGCCAACACTCTGGCTTCAGGCGTTAGCTGTGAAGACGATGTAGAAAGTTGAAATTGAAAGTTTGGGGTTTCGTTTGATTGACATCATGTGGCAACAGAGCATATCTATTTTCGTCTCTTCACTGTGAACTGCGACAGAATTTGCTGCTGTGTCCCGGGAGGATTTGGACATTTTTTGCCCCAGGCGAGGACCGCCGTTGCGGCTTCTGAGCCGTTCTGCCGCTCCGCACTGCCCCACACGTCTCAGGGCGCCTTTCCCTGCGACGCCACAGTGCAGCCGGAGTCATTGGGTGTGCTTCTCTGCATGCTCCCACGTTCATACGAGATGTCAGAAATTGACAGCCGCTGACACCCGCCGCTTCCTCGCAGACGACCTGGGGACGCCCATGAGGCGATGAAACTGAACGGAACATTGCGAGATGGTACACGCAGGCGAACGGCTATTCCCTGCTCTGATATAGCGGCGCAGGACGGCGCAGGTGCGTCGTCCGCCGTCCACCCGCCTACACCACACTCGTACTCACATTTTCGTATCCTGCAGCCCCTCTGTGCGTTATCTTTCGCCCCAAAAGATGTCGCACGCTACAGGAGCTGATCTACCACCTGAGACGCTGTCGCAAATTTTCAATTGCATCACGCCAACTCGTCTCAGTCTTGACTTGACCGAACGTCGCAGGGCAAAACGCCAGCTCATTGCGCCTAGCCTCGTTTGCAAGCATTGGTCTGAACCCCTCAGACCTATACTCTTCCGAACGCTCGAGTTGCGTGACATCGAAGCTGTGCGGTTCCTGAAGAGCATCGTCTGCAGCCCTGGGTTTACGACCTCGTCTCTGCCCGGGGCCATCTGGCAGATATTTATTCATCAAGAAGCTACGGAGGCGAAATCATGGCTTCACCATGTCCATGGACTTTCAACCCGTCTCCGGGAGACAAGATTCGACTGTACCGTCGTGAGCCCCACGGGCGATCCTGCATACGTGCCCAACCGTTGGGCCCCATTTGAATCGATACCCAGCATTACCCCATCCTATGTCCGACTCTCATATCTTACTCTCAATGGCATTGTATTCACAACCACGACCGAGCTCGCACGGCTCATCGACAATTTCTCTACGCTCCAGCGCTGCACCTGCAACAAACCCACCTTCCTCGACCCGTCGCCAGTTGTCCAGTCATGCAGAGTTCGCCGACGTGCTTCAATGGCCCTCCAGAGGTGCGAGATCTCACGATGCAGGGATATGGCGGTCTCCGTCCAAGCGGCACTGGCTGCTGACATCGTTGCAACTGCTCGTCGCATGGGCGTTGACGACCGCGCGTGGGACGCGACTCTTGAAGCGTTGCTTGCACTGGTGCCAAACACATTCAAAGGGGCATTTGTGTGGCTTGATGATCAGGACGGCAGTATGTTTGGTAAGTCTTCCAGAACATGCACAAAGTGCAAATCTCACTAGCTATTCTTCATTAGATGCGGCGCACATTTCGTGCCGTTCATATGGTCCTTACATGTATACGGGCGATTGTGTCCAAGCTGACGTTAAAGTTTACCGACCAAGTGCCGGTCAGGATGCGGGCTCTTCACTCGCGCACGTCGTGAGCATCACTCTCACACTCTCATTCGTGGATGTCGAAGCCATGGATACCATTGATTGGGACGCCTTGCGAGCCGTCGTTGATTCCCCGCACATGCACTACCTTCGTATCAACCATCTCTGGTCCCGATCCAAAAGTTTCGAGGTAGCAAAGAGAATCCTGTGCTCTGTGTTGCGCCGCACGCACTTGACGTGGGCTCTCGAGTCGGGTAAATTGCAGTTCAACAGGCACAACAGTGACCCCGCCACAAGTGCCGATATCTCGTCAGTACCAGCGAAACACACCATCGACGGCACCACAATCACTCTCGACATCGCCGAACAAGCTGAGTGGTTGCTGCTCCCTGTCCGGCAGCCACTTTACCCAGGTGACGCCACAAGAGAGGAGTACCTGCAGCAGCTCGTAGTCACGCGTGCGAGCGGAGTGCGCAGGTAGTTGAAGAGTGCAAAGGAGTGGGCGGCAGAGACGAGGAAGACCCGGCAACGGAGACTTAGAGCAAGTGTAGGCGTCGGGCGCTAGCAGGGTGCACTGTCGGGCGAGCGGACAAACTTTGGGGCAAAGACGGGGTGCGGCCAGAAGCACTCGCCGCAGAGCATCTCTCGGGGGAGACACACGCAGAGGAGTTTGCAAGGCGCAAGTGTACGATAGTATTTCAGGAGGTAGATCAGCTCCTGTTTCGCGTAGCATCTCTCGAAGGGAGACACACACAGAGGAGTTTGCGGGTTGCGAGAGAGCGGTGTAGACGGGTGGGTGATGCACGATGCGCTTAGGCGCGGGGCCACAGCCATCTGCCGGCTCGTGTGTACAAGATTCAGAAAGACAAAATCTTGGAGAGGTATCTAACTTCTCGTGTGAATGCGCCAACACGCACGCCCTTCGCCGCACGCAGTGATCACTCAATGCTGCGACAACATACATGGCGCATAGAGGCATGGCGCATGCCCGAACCTTTGTCCCATTGTATTGGTATCATCGCCACAAAGGATCTGATGCGCCAGTTGATGCGCTCCGCCAGGGCACGTGTCTCCCGCCACTTCCGCCGGGCGTCTACGCGCGACGCGTGCCCTTATTGCATCTCTACCCTGACTTTCCGTCCTTTTCTTATCCTTAGATTCTCCCCTGACTGCAATGCCAGAAGCAAGTCTCAGCCTGCACGGCAAGGTTCGTTGGCGACCTCTCGATGCTCGCAGTATCTCATCGCAGCCGCATACCTTTCCAGATTCATTCTCTGCAGTACATTCGGCCATAACTCTTTGATGACCTTTGTGGCGCGACGTGCATGTTAGCTTGCATGCCAACATCCGCTTTGCGCCCAAATAACCTTCGTACCAGACGTCCTTGTGTCCCGCGCTCACCTGTAGCTCAACAACCGCACGTGGAACAAAGCCTTTCGTTGGTATTTGGATATTTGAGAGGGTATTATTGGGCGTTTCTGAGATTGAGGACGGCGCATTGCTCGGTACGTCGTCGGCTGCTATAACCCATGACTCGCGCAGGACTCACCACAGATTCCCCATCAGACCTAGCAAGCATCTGGCTTGAGTCGTCTCCAGAAGACAATATAGCGAATATCTATGCGAGCGCCGATGCTGCCGAGCGCAAGCTTAAGCTTCGAGGCCATTTGCGTACATCGAAGATATCGCTTCCTGGATCGCGTTCGATAGCGCGCAAAATGTCGGAATATACCCACCCAAATGCTTTGGTTTCAGCCGTAGGCCCTCAGACAACCAGAAATTTAGCCGATGGGCGGCCATGAACTCGGAGATCAGGGAGGAAGGCGGCAGAGGGCGCGACATTCTCCAGGTGAATCCACGCCTTATGTTACGACGCATGCCGCTAACCGCAGCACCCCAAGCCCGTCAAACACAGCGCAAGGACGTGGTGCGCATTATTTTGAGTACACACGTCCCGTCTGCGCCGATGCCACACCCAGTCGAAAACATCGAAATCAACTGCAGATCTGAAAGTCGCTGGATGGGTCATGCGGGCGGTCGCCCAGGGTACGCCGGCGCACCCAGCGACCCAAGCCCCCGAACGGGGCCGTCGGTGTGGCAGGGAGCGGTCTAAGGCGAGCGTGTGTGCAATGCTCTAGAGCGGCATGCTTGCAGTTGGAATGCGCCGTCAGGTCCGTAATCGCCCTCACCCTCGCTGGTATTGTGCTCAAACCTGCCAACTCAGGCCCACCAGCTCGCTCCGCACGATGCGGAGACGCAAGCGGTAGAAGGCTTGTGGACGGGCCAATTCCTCGACGAAGACATTTGACCAGGCGAGCCGTGGCTCCGCCGTCGAGCACGCCGGGAAGGTTCGCAATCCGTACGCTATCGCGCGACCCCGGCTCAGTCGTACACGAAGATCTCGCACAGGTTCTGCAGCGTGGTGTGCGATCCCGCGGCCTGCCTGAGCCGCTGCGTGCTCGGCGGAACGAGTAAGGTTCTTGCACGCCATAAAGCCTTGTTGCGTTTGAGTCAATTCTGCAAATCGTAGACGACTGGGCGGGCAGAGCGAGGGCTATAAACACGAGGCGCGGGTCAAGTTGGCTAGATAACCCGAAGAGGCGTGCAGAAGGTCCAAGAAAATCTCTCATTCTATTCGATTCTATCTGCGCTGGGTCGTTATCGAACGCGTTGGACAGCTGGACACACGACCCAAGACGACTTAGTCGCACGTGGTACGCCAAGTCACTGTCTCATTTACCTTTGCTATCTGACATCAAACTACAGGCATCTTTATTTTGTAGCATAGCAAGAACGCGAGCTCACTCGTCGGTTGCACAGGACGGAGCCTGGACGGTAGTTGCGGCCATCAAGCTCCGTTGAATCGCCAGCCGCGGTCGAGAGGACGGACAACGTTGAGCGACCGCCGAGTGTGTATTCCTC